TATATCATACGAGATTATCCTGATGGATTACTGATACATATATCGTATACAATACCTCTCTGACCATCCTTAAGAAATACGCTATGGAAGTTATACTTTTTATTTCTTTCGTTTTATATTATAAATACCTTACACGCTTAAATATAAATAACAACATGTATATATATATGTATAATCTTTCGAGTTACCTACATAATCTGGCCTTTGGAAAACTTAAACACAGTATACTGTACTCGTAGTAAAAAAAAAAAAGCAAATAATATTATACATTAATGTGATAGGCAAATATGACCAAATTAGGTTAAAATAAAATAGGCTTAGGATTCTTGATATAACTTTCACCAAACGCATTTATTTTATAAAGCATAAAAAGATTAATCATCGTAACACAAACAAAGAATAAAACATGAAAGTATAAAAGAACTCTATCGTTTAATTATTCTAGACATTTTTAAGCTCCCAAAAATAGTTGCACTTATAATATTATAGAAAATATAACGATGCATTATTAAATGTAATCATTGAATAGCCAATCAACGGAGTGACAGAATTTTTAGATCTTTACCCCTTAGCCCACAAGGAGACCGTTTATTGATTTTGCGTTTCTTTAGGTAATTAATGATAGGACTGATTACTTTGAATATTTAGTATGAATACATAGTAAGATTTAATCTTTCCTTCTTTATCTTCATAAAATAATATAAAGCCGGGATACTGATTATCGGCATTAGGACTAACTAAATTATTATTTTTATTAATAGTAGCACATTTTAAACTAAAATAGGTGCATATGATGTTCCTTGTAGTTTTTACACTATAATAAAAAATATGTAAATATTTTATTGCTGTCTAGTACCTAGCTCCATTAAATTATTTCATGTGCACAACTAAAATAATGAACACGAGTCATAAACACATAAAACTACTATATTTTGAAATGAAAATAATAAAATTCTATCATAAAGTGTGAAATTAGCTAAGAAACCAAAATTCATTATATTGATTACTCTCTTAAAAATATATTACACAACCTATACTTCAAAATATAAAGACAAGATGAGTATTCACTTTCATGCATAGTATAATATTCATACAAAATTTTCATTGAAATATATTAAACAAATGTATATTTATTTATACAGAGTTTAAGAATATTTATTAATTTATTAAATCACGACTAGAACTTAATTTAATTTAATAAAAAAATATACCATTACATAAATTATAACAAACTATGAATGGTTCCATATTTTTTTTTTTTTTTATAAGCATACGACTTGACCCTTAAATTTATTTAAATAAAACACAATGAATATGTTTAGCAAGAACAACAGAAAATGTAACCCATGTAATTATGTAATATATCAAATATCTGCCTATATCAAATTACGTTGTTTAAATAGTCACTATGTTTTTATTGTTAAAAATTATAGCTGTTAATAGAAATCAATACTTTATATCTAAAATTATAACGGATTCGAACAACGAATTAATGTTTTATTAAAAACTAAAAATAATATATTTATATACTAATGATTTATAAAATATTAAATCAATCAATAGACTTTAAACAACAATTATTTTCATACCAAATTAGATAACAAGTTTTTCATTGATTAATAAAAAATGATGGAGCAAATAATGATTTGCGATAACTCAATAAAACTAGAACTAAAATAATAAAAACACAAACACTAAAACGGCAATTGCAAATTTAATGAATTGTAATAACAATAATGATGCAAGCATTAAGTTCGATTCTTGAATTATCACTAATTATTGCTTCGTTTTACTACGTAACAAAATTATGCAGCTACATAAATGTATTTATGAATAAAATTTGGTAAAATAATCATACATTTTTAAATCAATACACATTTATAATTAAATATAATTCATATTAATATTTATTATTTTGCACAAAATATAGTTATAGTGACGTGTAATATTATTACTGCAATATTATATTACTAAGATTGTCAATTTCAGTTTAATTTATAAATTAAAAATCAACCGTTGTATCTTCCAAATGTAGATTAATGAACAACTGTATATATTATAACTCAAGGAGATATATATGCTAGTAGACACAAATACATATTTGTTTTTTAATTATTTAAATTGTTCTTGTCACAATCTTAAGAACAATAATTTAAAAAATATTTTTTAAAGAAAGTAAATATGATTATACAATAGTTATTCTCCAGTACTAAAATATTACAATATGATGTCAGTTATTTAATTAATTTTACAGGTGTACCCAACTGCGTAAAAATATTAAATTACAATTTTCTATAAATACTGTAATGTTATGTACAAAGTGATACGATATTATACGATATTAAACTTCAAAATTGTCGTAACCTGTTAAACTCATGTTTAATAAGCTAAAGCTAATATTTCACTTGTTCTCCGCCTAAAATTTATTCGTTTTGAAAATCTTCTATCATGAAGTTATTTATAAGAAATTTAAAATATTTTTATCCCGTAACTGTGTTTCAAAAAGTAACCGGAAACAAATAAAATATATTGAAAATGCATGCAGTATAAAAAAATGTCATCTTTCAACCAATTACTTCATCAAGTCTGAATACCATTTTGAATATAATAAAAACTGTTGAGTAAATTGTAGTCGGTGTAAAATTAATTTTACAAACGAATAGTTATCATACATAATATATTATACGGGTACTTGTAAATTGCGCCCACATTAAATAGGTAGTAAAAATACTATTGTAAATTGCGCCCGGGATTTTTCGGGGTCTAAAATGGGTATAGTAAATTTCGCCTATAGTATCTACTATCTAAGTAACCTCATATTTATAATTTTATGGATAAAATATTAGAGTTACAATCTGAAATTTATATAAAAATTAATAGTATAAATGAACCTTAAAGGTTCATACATTTCATTTATTCCTACATTTCAAAATACCAAATCAAAAAAAAAAAATTAAAAAAATGGAAAAAATTATTCAACAATATAATGAAAATACTATTACGAAGGCTGAATATGTGAAGATGATGTCTCATTATTATGGAGATAACTCATATATGAATTTTTTATTATTAACATTTTTAACCTAACAAAATATATTTAAAAAACTATAATTAATACCATAATATTTAAAAAAAAATTAATTTTCCTATTTTTATTAATTAATTTATTCATTTACATTTAATAATAATAACAAATAAATAATAAATAATAATTTAACAATAATTACATTTTTGGAGGACAGTGATAGTTACCTCCTTGTGGGTCCTCTGGGGTATGTTATATAACTATCATAAAAATAATGTTTCTATTGGACGCAATTTACTATACAGAAATTTATACCTGAAAAATACCGGGCGCAATTTACTACACAAAAATTTATACCTGTTAAATACCGGGCACAATTTACAATTGTTTCCCTTTGTTGGACGCAATTTATGTTTGTTCTATTATACAATATATAATAATAGATGTTTCTCAATACATTTGATTTAAAAATCTAATAATCCAAAAAATTGTACCAAAACCTACTTTTTGAATAAATCTTAAATAAATCATTCAATGACTCAAACTAAAAGTAAAGAATTATTTAATTGCTTTAAAAAAAAAACCTGAAATTCATATCTATGAGCGAATATAAACAAGGTCTAGCATAATGCTTATAACAAATAATTAGTTGAAAATATTGATGAACTAATCATATTCTAATATTGAACTATAAACCTATTTTATACTACAAGGTCTATGAATTGAATACTATACATTTTATAACTATTTAAAATATTGGCAACTCTGTCATAATTATCACGAAACCTTTAATTCAATTAAATTTGTAAACGATAATCAGGGCCGTCCCGAGGATGAAAATCAAGGGGGGGGGGGGGGAATAATATGAAAAACGCTGACTACAATTTTTTTACTCAATATATGTAGTATAATTAACTATATGTAGTCGTATTTTTACTTTTTAATATATACATATATATATGTATGTGTCAGTGTCACACTTTTTTAAAATTGACAGTTTAATTATATATATATATATATATATATATATATACATACATAATAATATTTTATACTGTATAATAAGTACCTAGTTATATAAATTTTATTCGTGTATACACTATATAACGAAATATGTAATATTTGTATTCCTTAAGTAAAATTAGGTCCTTCTAGGCTATAATGAAACAAGTCCAACTGCCGATTGGTGTTTTCGTTGGGGGGGGGGGGGATAGAGACACTCTCCAAGACCCTCCTTCAGGACGGCCGTGGATATAATATAAACTCTTAATAACTATAATGTTAAATGTGAATAATTTAACCATAATCTAATTATGTATTTTTGATCAGAAATTGTAACAAATAATACTAAGGTATTTCATACCAATTCATAACACGTAACCGCCCGTCAAAATTATAAAAATATATTTCTAGTTATTTGATAAAAACGTATTAATAATACATATTTTTAGATATATAACATACTTACCTATATGATTTGTATATAATTAACCAACTTTTCGTTTACAAATAAAATAGATAACTTTTACTTTAACTGTACAATATAATTCAAATATTCATCGTAGATGTTTGATAAACACTTAATTTAATTAAAATATTTTTAATATAATATAATCGGATTAAATATTTTCTATTATGATAACTGTTTCTATAGCTAGCAAATATGACATGACATTAAGTTTGATGCAATTTTAAACTTCGCTATGAACTCACACCGATTAACATTTAATTAAATATATTAAATATAACATGGTTATAGAATATGGTCATATGGTTTTAAAGTCTAATCATTTGTTATTATCAAATAATATATATATAATGTTGGGTAAACGACTACTACACAGTATAACTATTAAACTGTATGAAAAATATTCTAAATTTACAAAATAAATAACAGCATTGTCATAGAAACTTAATATTTGTTGTTATGGATTGAAATTTGTTTAATTCAAAACTCTATTTAGATATCGCAGTTTATAACGTACTTTTCAGATATCGTGATTTATTGTGATACGAGATCAGACTCCATTGAAGAAAAGTATCCCAGGAGTAATAAAGAATAGCAACATCTCAATTTTGATTAGAATGTTTGCAATAAGAGCATTTAATCAGCAAGTAAAGACATTTGTCTTAAGTAGAAGCTTGAAGTTTTCAAGGTAAAAAACATTTTAATAGATCTAATGTTTTGTTTATTATACGCATATTTGTATATACTCGTATTTCTTTTTCTCTTAGTTTAACGTTCCATGTAGGACCTGAGCTGCCACAAGCAATTCTCTCCATCTTTCTCTATTAAATGCTAGGTAAACTGACACATTTCTTCCCAACATTTTGGTATCTTTTTCTATTATATCTTTTCATCTCGTACCTATTGGTCTTGTTTTATGTATGGTTTCCGTTAGTATTTTTATCAATTAATGTATTTATAGAATATTATTAGAAACAATGATATTCTATTACTGCGCTGTAGCGTATAGTTTTCGTGAAAAGTACGCTATAGGTATGCGCAAACACAATGAGTTATTCCGGGTGGTTTAGAACACTTCCGAACTGTTATAACACTCAAATCACCCTTCAGAACTCCCTTGGAAATCATTGTATTACATTAGGTCCATTACTAAATGATACAAGAGATTCTGTTATATGCAAAATAAAATGTCTTTATCATTCCACCAATTATATGGGATGTAATGTATACTGTATAGATTCATCATAGAGTATCATTCATATTCTTTTATAGAATCCAAAAATGCGTAAGCCGTTGTATGAACCTAAAAGGAAAGTGCGCACTTGTCACTGATGGAACAAAGGGTATAGGTGCTGTCGTTACAGGAGAATTATTACGAAAAAATGTCACCGTATATTATGATTACTATTATTATTTTGCTATACTTTAAAACAGTTATACGTGCTTATAAAGAAATATTTATTTGACTCTAGAGTGTAATAATTACTGGCGAGGATGAACAATTGGGGAAAAAGAAAGCACGTGAACTAAACGCATGCTATGGCCACGGAAAAGTGGATTTCTGCAAAATAAACGTCAACAACATGAATGACTATGAAAGTAATGCACTGTCTATGACTGAAACTAGTGATAGGGATAATCGAATTATTTCAATAATCGAATGATAAGTAATCGAAAAAAAAATAATCGAATAATCGAATGATTAGTAAACGAAATCAATAATCGAATAATCGAATGATTCATGATAGAACTGCTTGAACTGGTTGTATAAATAATCAAATGATTATCTATAAGCGTGAAAGTGAAACGCATTTTCAATTCAAATATTTATACGTATTAAACCAATTAATGTGGCGATTGCCGATACTGGAAATTATATCAATAACTAAAAGAGTAGATCACGATTCCGTTACGTTTGTCTTTTTTAATAACACGATTGCGTACGTTTGTAGATGAGTAACAAAAAGATAGATAAGAAAAATAAATAAACACGATTGCCTATAAAATTGTATGGAACGTTGTCAAATTTACTAATTTCACCGTATTATATAATAATTATAGTACTAGTTATTTAGTTATAATATATATTAGTTAGTAGAATATACAGTTCTATAAAAGTTCATAAAAAAATTAATATTAAAATAATAAATAAAATGAGGATAACTAAATAAAATAAAAGTAATTAATAAATAAATAAAATCAACAGTTTTTATTCGAATGAAATTATTGTTAATAAATCATTTGATAATGCTTAAATTTGGATTCCTTGACATATACATATAACCTATTACTTTTACTGAAACTCGGAAAATACCGTATAATATAACTATCAACTATGTTAATATCATTAACAATAAACATGAGTAATAAAAGCAATAAAACATAAAGTATTTATTAACTTTTTTAAGCATATATGCATATATGCATGTGGTATCAGTGGCGTATATAGGGGGGGTTTTGGGGGTTCAAACCCCCCGAAATTTATGGTTAGTACGACCCACGTGTGCATTTCTTTAATCTATGTATTAATTAAAACCAAACTGTATAGTATGGGAAAAAAATGCTCTCTCCTAATTTTTAAGCAAATTATACGCCCAATTCTTACCTACGCTTGCCCGGTATGGGGTGATTGTGCATCCTCGCACATCAAAAAAATGCAAATTGTCCAAAACAAAGTCCTCCGAATAATTGCAAATGTTCCGTGGTTTATCAGAAATCCAAATCTGCTATTGATACTTTGAATAAACTATCCGTTGATTTTTTTCCAAATATATGGTGCTTAATGTCAATATTAGTAACTTAACCAGTCTCAACAGCGTCATCAGAAAGATTGTTTTCGATATTGAAAAGATTGAAGTCGTGCTTGAGAAATAGTACAAGCGAAAATCGACTAACAGGATTATCTCATGTCAATTCATCGAAGTATTTCAATAAACACTGAAGAAGTAATAAATAATTTTGCAAATCTACCTTGAAAATTAGACTTTGTCCTGTAATTAAATTTATGTATTCTAATTTTCATAGTTATTAAAAATAAATTAATTTATAACCTTCATTTAGTATATATTTTTTCATACCCCCCCCCCCCCGAAATTAATTCCTATATACGCCACTGTGTGGTATACATCAATACCGGTATGAAAATTGGCATTAACGTTTAAAACTTTGTACGCAATCGTGTGGTTAAAAATCAGGTAAAACCGTACGGAATCGTGTAACTTATAAAGATATCGCCCGATAACGAACGTACGCAATCGTGTTTTACCCGATTAAAAATAAATTAAATAATACAATACTGATGGACAGCAGGGGCGTATTTAGACTTACTTCCATGGAGGGGGCTCAATTTTTTTTTTTTTACTTCAGGCTCAAAATTTACGAGTCAAATTTTGGTAATATTTAAATCGAATGAATCCCTAATATTTGTGGCTTTTTTTTAATCTAATGTCAGATCCACTTAGGATCGACTTTTGCATAGTTCTTTTTTAACACCTGTTTATATTTTGAAAGTTACGTTTGTATTTTATTTGATTTATCACTAATTATGGACCCGACAAAAAGCCCATATCAGTATTTCACTGCCACACGTAATTTGATTTCGTTAGAAAATGATTCACCTTAAAAAAAATTGTAATGTGTATCTCACCTACTCGTATAATTGATTTCTTGAATATGGATTCAGTGGTGGGCGATCGCCCCTTTCGCCCCCCCCCCCCGCTAAAATGCGCCCCTGATGGACATTCGACTTCTTATTTTAGTATCCAATGGGCAATGAGTAATACACACAATTTTTTCGAATAATTCAATTAATTTGCTTTTGATAAATATATTTGGTATCATTATTTCTATTATTAAAATAATTCGGTTATTCCATTCAATTATTCCCATCACTAGCTGAAACCCAAGAACCTATCAAACCTAAATGTAATCGGTTGAACCAGTGACTTTCAACCTTTTTTCAGCCAATAGATTTAAAAAAATCTCCGCCATAGGATTTTTTTAAAAATATATAGTTCAATTTTTATTATCAGTCATTTAAGTAAAGTTCAAAGTATAGGAATTTGTAAAATTCTTTTAGTTTTTTTTCTTTTTTTTTCTACTAGCCTTTATAATTCAATATGTATTTACATTACAATTTATATTTTAAATATTTAAATTTCTCCTAAATATTTTATAACAAAATTTAACAGCTATGAAAAATTTCTAAAATAAAATTGCTATTTGTATTTTATCACATTTACAGATTAAATATATGCACAATTTATCCACACACACTTTGTATATCTTTGGATATAAAAAAAATATATTCAGGTGAAATTTAACAGAAGCCCAAAATATTAAAATAATTTTGTATTTATACAAATTTTAAATGTACGTCCATTAGGTATAGCCGGTAGAATTTGTCTATTGACAATTGATATACCTATATATATATAACTTATACTAAAATTGTTTGTTTGTATGAGTACATACCCACACTAGACGCATAACTGAAATTCGTCAATATTGTTTAACATAGTAATATTTTAACTGATTTGCAATATTGCTAAGTTATAGTGTCACTATAGTTATACATGTATATATTTTATTAAGAAACATTCACATGTATCAAAAAACACTTCAAGTCAATAGATATTTTTTTCAACAATACCGAAACAGATGACAAAAAAGACAAAATTCATACTGATCTGGTAAGTCCTTAGTACATATGATATTTTAAAATTTACTCTCATCATTTAAGCATAGTTTAAATTAAAAAATATAAAAAAATGTTCTGGTTCTTTTGAAATTCGTAATAATTAAATTGTATGAAAATGATTTATATAAATGTATATACACTATACACTGATACAATATTAAATAATTTTATTTAGAACGTATTATTTCAATTACATATTTATATACATTACATATTTATCTCTAATCGTAAATGTGTCAATTGGGACTGATCGTAGTAGTATTATTAATTATTTAAGATACTTAAGATCCAAGGAATTATAATGGCTTATAAGACTTTGTCAAACGAAGGCGTAATCTTAAATCATACGTCATCCCTCGGACTCAATGTGAAATCAGATATGATCAACCACAGCGCAGCTTCAGGTGGTTTCATAACTGCCGCAATGGCTTTCAGTGTAAGTAACGTATTCTAACTTGATACTAAAAAAAAAAAAAAAAATACTAATATTACATGTGCCGAACAGGGTACTGAATATTATGATAAAACAAAAATCAGAATGATAACATTGTGTACCGAGCCTATTTTACCATTATCTGGAAACTATATAGATAAAAGAAGACAGTGTAAGAATAACAATAAGTAGTAAGTACTTATTTACTAATAAGCTGTAACTACATCTTACAAATGAAATAAGAAAGTATTTAATAGTCATTGCTTTTAGTTTCGAATTTAACCTCTCACATCAACCTTAACAATAATGTTTATTAAATATATAAAATATATAAGCTTTCTAATTCCATATGCTTTTTATATTGATTGTCTTCAATATATCCTTCAATTTATTAATCTAATATATTACATTTTAAGCTAGAAAATAATTTACTGTTGAAATATTGTTAACACATGTATACATTTTTATTCATAAAGAATTAACTAAATTATTAATATTATATTAATATATATTTTTAGTATTAGTTCAATAATTCAGTCCGTAACTCATCTCATTGAAAATGGATCTAATAATACACTATGGCTTTGTCAAAAAAATGGTGCTCTGTATTCAATAGAATTACAAAATATAAATAGATTCTTAGTCAAATTTGAGCCAAAAGTATTTACATACATTGTCAATACATATATTAAATAAGAATATAATTATCTATATTTTTGTTGCATATGATGAAATAAAAAGATGGATGAAAAAACAGAATAATTGCAATTTTATTGGATTTCAAGTGAATTTCATATTGCCCATACACAGTCAGTTATAAATGTCAGTTTTTGTGATTGTCACTCGTGATGGACCGTGTATGTTGATGAATGTCAATCTTTTTTTGTGACTGATGAATTTCAAACATGTTTGATTTTTGTTGTCAATTAGAGTGATTGACAATCATGACTGACCATGTGTATTAATGATTTATACTCGTTATCATTCAAAACAATAACAAAAACATAATCACAGTTGTACCACGTGCTTATACGCACAATACTTTTCTTTTTCATACTAATTTAATATCATATTAATTATTAAAATCATTATTCATTAATAAAGTAAGAATATTTTAACTATTATAAACTTGTTATAAACAGGGCTCGTAAGTTCATGCATTTGGATAACAATCTTGCAAAGTTGTAATTAATGCTAGATGACAAAATTCAATTTCAAGGTACCACGGTTAAGTATGTGAAATCTTATTTTGCATGTTTTCGCATATTTGGCATATTTATGCATATTTCTATTTTATCAGGCATATTATACAGCATTCTGTTAAAATCTATCAAAAATCGTAATGGAAAATATACATGAAATTAAAAATAGAAATAATTTAAATAAAAAGAAAAGATAATACAATTATTGTATTATCTTTTCTTTTCTTACATTCTTGATACTCGTACATTTAATGAATAAATTTGTTTCAAAAGTTTCAAATTTAAAATTAATTACTGACAAAGATGTACATTATACGCAGTTCATGAACTCTCAGGAAAAGTAATACATAGTATTTAAAATCCATTTTTTTAATTGTGACATAAAAAAATAAAATTTAGCTAATAAAAAATGAATGGATAATCCATGTTATTTCAAAAAATATTTATGATTTTTTTAAGTAAGCATTTTTAAGTGCATAATTTTAGACATTTAGTGCATATAAATGCATATTTTGCCAATTTTAAGTGCATAAATGCATGCTTATTTAGGCATTTTTAGGGCATGAACTTACGAACCCTGGTAATAAATATTAAGTTGTAATATTTTTTTTTTTTTGTATGTACCTAGGATAATTATGGCTACTACTAAAAACACAGATGTTCAAATGTCAAATGTTACCATTATAAAGTGATGTTGATTAAATTTGTGATTTTAGAAGAATAGATTAAAAAAGTTAATATTTATTCATTTGTAAGTAATTTTTAAATAATAGTATAAGTATATACTATATAGTATATATATATAAGTATATATACATAAATATCTTACTTTTATACAATCTTTTAGTACAGTAACTAGAGCTTCACAGGTTTCAATAATAATTTTACTCAATGTTTGAGGAGCTATTGCTGTGGTAAATTTTAAATCTTCAAAGCTTTGACCAGTAGCCTGACCACAGACTGATACCTTAAAGTAGTTGACAATCTTTGATTTACAGGAATAGTACTTCTGATATTTGTATCTTTTTTTTTTTGATAAAAGGTTCAACTTTTTCTAATAATTTCATAAATGTTGAATTGGTCCATTTGAAGAAAATTCGCATAATCTTCATTTGATGTCAATAAAAGTTCATCTAGTAGGTTATGATGTGTGTATTCGGTTCATTTTAAAAACCATTCTTTTGATCATATTCTTTGTTTTTTCTTTCGTTTCCTTCTTTCGTCTGCATTATCTATAGTTAAAGCAACAATAATTGCAATGCAAGCTTCTTCCATTTTTTAGGAAAAATTGGATGTATAATTACAATAGGGCAATAGGGTATAGGCTACGATAGTTGGTGGCATTTGTTTTTATCTTTAAAAATAAAAACCTAAAAGTGGAGAATTTATCAAACGATTGTCATTCATGATTGACCATGTATATCATTCATAAGAGTGACAATCATAAAAATTGACATTCATAACTAACCGTGCATGAGAAAATGTTTTTCTAAATATTGACTGATGACAAAGAACTAAATGATGTATTTATTTACTGTTTAATAATGGTTATTTATATATATATATATTTAATACGGACAAAAGTCCAATTCACAATATATTTGTATAGATAACAATAATATAATATAATTTAATTAAAAAAAAAAATAGAAGCTGCGCTGTCCTCACAGCCAGAGCAACCTTTGCAGTAGCGCCCAGACAGGTTACCAAGGGGTTCAATTGCATGTGCTCTCGTCGATGATGGGTGTATAGGTAGTTTGGTGAGTATATAATTGGACAACTTGGATACCAAACACTATGGAGTATGGCAAGCAAATAACATTATTATTATAACACAAACTTTATACCTATACGGCACTGGGTGTAGACATCTTAATTTTAATTAATTATAATAAATCTTAATTTCTTAAATTTATAGTTGTTTTAAGAGTGAATTACAGTTACAGACAACAATTTAAACAACCGTTTTTAAAAAAAAAAAAAAAATTGGTTGGTGGGTGGGTAACTTTTTTTAGTTGCATATGCTCTCAAAATACTTCTGTGCGTCACTGAACCTTCGTCACAAAATCTAAGGGCTCAGGTCGAGGTTTCGCTTGGACTCATTGCGGATGCGTGCGCATATACAGCTGCTACAACTCCCGCCACAACACAAGAGAAAACTACATGTCCTTTTTCGGTGACCTTGAACACTTGGTCAGAACTTCACCCCATGGAGTGAACATTGTGATAGGTGGTGACTTCAACGAAGTCATGCGTCATCGGAACTACCTGAGAAGTGCACATTAACACATATAAACACAAACTGATGTTATATTCACAGACCTAGAAAAAGCTTTCGATAAAGTGAATCATAATTTAATTTCAAAACTTAAATCCTATGGATTCTATAATCCACTTCTCTCATGGTTTAGTACATTCTTAACAAATAGAATACAAATTGTTAAATAAGAGAATTTTATTTCAGATAATATTTATATTACATCTGGTGTACCTCAGGGCGATCACTTATCACCATTATTATTCTTGCTTTTTATCAATGATATTTCAAGCGTTATACAACACTCAAAATTTCTATTACTAGCAGATGACTTAAAATTATTCAAACAAATTTGTTGCTATGATGACGCAGTTCTTCAAGCGGATGTGAACTCTTTTCAAGGGTGGCGTAATGATAATGGGATGTCCTTGAATAAAGCAAAATGTAAAATACCTCTCTTTGTCACATTCTTATATTTTGATGTCAGCCGCGAATAGCACAAATAATATAGATTTTTTCACGCAGCACTCTTAGATCTAAATGAATTATTTTAGTGTATTCCTAATAATTTCTATATCATATTAATTATTGATCGTCTTTTAACTATATTATATTAATTTTTGTTTATACATAGTTTATTATACTATGTACCTACTATCATATTTATAATTATATGTCATAACTTTTATTCTTTTCAAATATTATGTAAATTGGAATTTTTTCCGTAATAAATAAATTATTATTATTATTATTATGTTCTGGTACTCAAAATGCAAATTATAAAGGCTGTCATTCTTTAAAAAATAATGTCAAACATCTCTCACAAAAAATATCGCCTTAAGATTGCGCCACTTCCATCGTCAATAGTGCCTGCAAATGTCTTGCCAATCATAGTTGAGTTCTCACCCGAAAACACTCGATGCATAGAAAAACTTAGATTGAAGACGTACGCAAAAACAACTTTTAGGCAATTAGAACAATTTGAAAACCGAACATATTTCAAATATTTTATCTATGTTACGCAACTACTCTCTCATTACTCCCATTCATTGCCCATTTATCCAAAATCACAAACCTCAATTCTTATTGTATGGTTGTAACATTTATTATCTTTCTTATGTTATAGTTTTTCCGCTATTACTATTATTGTTGTATAGATTTAATCTGTTAATAATTTGGCATATTATGTTATTTTTAAACATACATTAATATAATAATATAATAATCATTTCATTGTTATTATTTTTTTTATAATCATTAAAAGTTAACTAAAATTATAATTACTTAGTAATTCTTAAGCTATAAAGTTATACAGATAGGTAATTTAAAAAAAAAAACCAAAATTTTATTTGAATTTATTTTGGTATTTTTTAATGATCACTGGTCACATAAGACACTGACCTATTGAAAAACTTTCTGATGCCATAGAGCCCAATACTGCCCTTACATGAATGTAGCAAACAAATAACATAAACAGCAAATGTTTATACATACCACATATCCAACAATTTGTAGATTTAATACTAAGTTCATGCATTACTACTTACCATAATACTATTTATTATACTATTTACTTGTGAGCATGAATGAACGAGTGTAAGTCTTCAGAGTCAAACACTCAACAATAATTTTTTTAGTTATAAACAATTAACCAGATAAAATGATAATAGGAGATAGGTATCATCATTATATTATAAATCATAACCTGAATAAATTATTTTTCAAATTAGATATTGAAATAAAATATTATTTATAATGTTTATAAATTAAAAAAATTGTGTTTTGTATAATATTTGCATAAAATTATGAAACAAGCAACAATATCATACAACTTAGAACACATTATTATCACAGTCTTATTATACTCAGTTAAGTAAAAAAATAAATGTAGCAAAGTAGAAAATGAAAACATAATGATTCCGTAACAATTCATTGAATTACACAGGAATCTGAAACAAAATATATATTTTAAACCAACCACATAATACATTATAATAATACAGATCAAAATAACATTAAGAAATAACAAACTATAACAACTTATTACAAAAATCAAATTACAAAATTCTAAAAAAATAAAAAAAGCAATAATAATTCTAATTACTTCATTAATTGAGATAAATATTTATAAATATTAAATTACCATTACAGAAAATTTTACTAATTTTAATAATATAATATTCAGTCTTCTAAATAAAATAATAAAATTGATTATAAACTTAAATCAACGTAAGAATTAATTAGATACAAAATTAAAATAATTTGATATACATAAAATGCCAATACATAAAATCAAACAAATGCAATTCATAAACATACAATACCCTGAAAATATAGTACAAAACTCCATTATATTTAAGTACGTAAATTAAATCTTAAAATGAAAAATGAAAGATTAATTAACTAAAGCACTTATTTTTTTTCAGAAAACAAACTTTTCTTCCTGTTTGTTCCAATGACTAGTCTACTAACAACAATACTGAACAATTTTGGAGACTTTTTCTCTATTTTACCTTTAGTTAATGATGAGAATCCATCAGTGACATCAATAGCTTGATCGACTTTTTGATCTTTAGTCTGTAGTAATACTTGGGCATTTTCACACTGACTTTTCCATTCAGTTACCTGATAAGTTAAATAAATCTTTAAAAACAAGTATAACTTAATTATTCCAAAATTAAATAATTTACAAATTATTATACTAAATACACTCTCTAACATATAATATAAATGTACCTGTTTGATAAGTAAATTATACCGGACACCCACAGGTTCTTTTTCCAATAGTTTTTCTAGCAAGTTTAAACCAACTTTATACTTTTCAACAGCTGCTTCATATTGACCTTCAACTAAATACATCTGACCAGATAGTGCAATTTCTACAGCACTAGCTAATTGAGGAGTATTTTGACACAATGATACTGTATAAATTGAAAAACATATTCAATATCACATTAAAATGAGGAAAATAAATTATTAGTGTTTTTTTTTTTTTTTAAAAATAACCTATTAATATTTATATATAATATATATAAATAAAACATATAATAAATATGTTCTTACATAAAGTTGGAGAACGATCATCATCATTAGAAGATGTTGGAGATTTATCACTAGTTTCATCACTATTACTTTTCATTTTAGAAACATAAATAGCTTTTAATTCTTCAGCTCGTTTAGTATACTCTTTCAGCTTTAATTGCAATGCTTCTTTTTTAATTTTATCAGATTCATCTAAATAAAACATTACTATATTATAACAATTTATATATTATTTTTTTTACTGGCAGTAACATTTATTAAGTAAAAGAAAGGTAAGAAGAAATTATTTTTTTGAGAATTTTGCTCAACATTTTTAAATATAACAACAATTTTAATTTTCAAATGATCTATACAAATATTCATAATAAAAAAACTTGAAATTAATATTAATATTTATATGCTTCCAGTTTTATTTCAAACAATTGTTAATCACTAATCATTAACATTTAGTAGTTTATAAAACCAACTACTAAATTAATATTAAATAAGAACATAAAATCAGATAACATTATAGTCTTTTATAAATTAAAATTGATATGTTAACAAATAATAAATATTTAGATGAAATTTGTTTTTATTAAAATCTTACTTTGGGAATATGGAATCAAATACTGCAATCCTATACAATATTTACAAAATGCTGCTTTATATTGCTTTTCAGAATCTAATTTCACTGCCTGATGAATAGCAACAAGTCCTTTTTCATATGATTCTGTACTAGGTACATGATCCAAATCTACAAATGGATGTTTAAAAAACTCAGTATAACCCATACGCTCAGAAGGATCATGTTTGAGTAAACCCAACAATAAATTTCTACACTCTGAACTGACTTGATTAGGCGGTATTTCTATAGGTAAAACTTTTTTAACTTTTTCACACAAGTCTTTTATAGAATCTGAAGCATATGGAGCTCGACCATAAATGCATTCATAAGCAATTACTCCAACAGACCAGAGATCTGCTTTAACATCATATCGACTATGAAGTAACATTTCAGGAGCCATATATAATGGTGAACCACGAATATTTTCCATTTGGGTTTTTTCACTCATAAATTTTGCTAAACCAAAATCTAAAACCATAATATAATTAGAATTAAATATATTAATTGAACTTACATGTTCAAGTAATCATTAATTTTAATTATAAAAAAATATATACAAATACAAACCTCCGACCTTAAGAGTAAGTTGTGGTGACCTCATTAGAAGTAAATTTTGTGGTTTGAGATCAAGATGAGAAACATTATGCGATCTTAAAAATTGCAAAGCTAAGGCTAATTGTTGCATGAATTTACGACATATTTTTTCAGGGAGTTTGGTATGGTTTTTAATAAATGTTGACAAATCACCACCATCACAATGTTCTAGTATAATATAAATATTCTTACGATCCCATAAAAAATCAATCATTTGAACAATGTGTTTATGTTTGAATTTTTGCATCACACCTATTTCGGTTACAACAGCATTTTCTGCACTCTTTGACAATTTACTCCGCTGAATAACTTTTATAGCAACCATATTTTTGGATTCATTCTGAAACAAAAAGATAACAAGAATGTTAATTACAACAATAGGAAAACAGTTGAGTAATGAACTACAAGCCAAAAATAAAATATTAAAAATCAAAATACTGCTTAAATTTTAATTTGAATAAAAATTATAAAGTCAAATGATTGAAATAACTATTATAAATAAGGGTCTCTCATGAGATTCTAGATTATAAGCTCCAACAACCAAAAATGAATAGTTGAAATTATAATAAGTAGAAATAGTTTCCCTGATTTTTAGAGTACACCCTACATAAGAATATATTTGAATAAAAATACAGGTACATACCTTAGCATGAGCTAGATATACAGTTGATGTGCTTCCACGACCGATATTTTTAACTATTTTGTAACCCTCGACTTGCGGAAAAGTAGCCATTTTACTGCCATTCGTTTGTAAGGAGTAATGTAAACAACAACATTAATTATCAATCATGGAAAACCGGTTGTACTTCGATTAAACAGAGTAACACAAACAAGACGAATCGAATGAATTGCGTAGCATTTTTTATCCAAAATCTTACGTAACGGTACTGGCACAATACTTGTGATAATTACGACGGCTGAAAAATCAAAGGTCACATAGACATTGTTCGGTAGATGATTAAAATATTAAGGAAACTACGGCAACTACTTAGAATTATGACACTATGTGGTCATTTTAACCTTTTAACTCTTGATAACATCGTGGACACGGGTAAAAATGCGCCATCGAATTGATAACACAGTGATATGAATCACCAGGAGGTCCAACGTAACCACAACGAAGAGTTGATTGTGTTGATAATTGGTAAACGAAGGTGAAATCATAAAAACCCTTACTCAATTATTATATTAACACTGGCGTGTTGACAATGTTTTTAATGAGCGGCCGCTTCATTAATATTTTAGGGGTTGGTGATTAATAATTAGGTGGGTACTCTTTTTCTTATACGAAAAATAAAATTTTTAATTCGTAATCGTCAGACATCAATAGACTACATTATACCTATCTAAATATTACAACATATAATAGTATAATAATAAATAAGTGCTGTATAATACATAATAGTATACTACGTACTACGTAATACGTATAGTATGTTGTTTATACATTACCTATAATATATAATCACCAGGTGTTTAAAAATAAAGTTTTATTTAGCTAATAGTTTATTTTAATTAATGTTAAAAAATTATGGGACTTGAACAAATTAAGAATGCGTGTAGCTGTAGCATTACTAGCATTACAATGAAGCTTTTCATTATTTTTAAGCGTATTAAATTTATTTACATATACAAATTGCATCAGTAACATTGATCAAAATTGTTAAATAAATAATGATCAATCATCATGAAAAATATTATACTATATTTTTATATTAATTTAGAAGAAAAAAAAGACAATTATCCAAATTAGTAGTTTAATATATTTTTTATATTGACAATGCGAGCAATTTTTGTATGTAGAGGTGTTTAAAAAACAGGAGGGTGAGTGGTTTGTAAGAATCTTCACTCCTTATGCAAAAGTAGTTCAACACGTCACTGTATAAACATATTGTAACCAGCTGACCCGACAAACGTTGTTTTATCATATAAATTATTTCTAAAGAATATTTTGCTAGAAAAAAACAACTTATTTAATATAAGTTTGTAAGGATGTGGTATATAAGTGGAAGAGATATGGAGTGCTGTAAATGGTGACGAAATATAAAAATGAAAAAACATCAAACATTTATTTTTTTAATTATTTATTGAAATTGTTCCTTTAAAATTATATATATCGCTAATTATGACAATATTAGTAAAAAACAATATAAATCCCTTAATGCAACAGAGTGTACAATATTTTTTGTTATCCCAACTTTCGCCAACACAAACAAACTGGATGGTTCGAGAGCACGCCACATATAATTATCCGTGTGAAAAACATGATGTGCTCAAATCTAAGCCACAGACAGACATCGTTTGGCCTTGAAACTTATTTATAGACATTTTAAATTCCAATCTAATTGGAAATTGAAGGCGTTTAAATTGTATTGGTACATCCATGGGTATAATAGGGATTCGTGGTAATAATATATTTTCACCTTAGAATTTGCCATTTAAAATTATAGCTTCGATAACATTTTTCATTAATTTTTTAATGACTAATCGCGTGCCATTACACAAACGTGGTAGGTTCAAATAACAAAGCAAAATAACCGGAGATCCAACCTTTAGTTGTAAATTATGTGGTAGCATGCCTAGTAAATCCAATGAATTTAAAAATTCTGTTGGATAATTTACAGCTTCAATAGCATCGCAAATTGTATCAATAGATTTGTATGACACCAAGTCTCCTGGTAACAAATGTTGTATCTTGAGATTCAATTCGTTGACGTCCACATTTTTTGCTGCTAAAATTGCTCTTTCTGCCAGCCACTCATGATTTGTGTACTGTGATAAATAAAAAAAAAAAAGGTAACTAAGTCAAGTGGTACGTGAACATTTTTCAAAATATGATACGCAGATATAAAAAGGTCGAGAACCGCTGTTTCAAAAAAAGTAGATTGTTTTTTAACAATTTTCAGTGTTCGAAATTTATTTTATCCAAACTAAGTGCGGTCCTATTTAGTTCGGATAATCGAGGTTCTACTGTATATATACTATAATATGTGTATTCTAATTTCAAAAACTGTATATATATATATATATGCATATTGTATATGTATTGAACGTAACCTATACTAGCCATTTTTTTTTTTATTTATTAAATAGCTACTGAACCCTTATATTGGTGTTATTAAATAAACATATACCTCTATCCTTTCTGCGTTTATAATCATTGTATGGAAAGTAAAAACTTTCTGCTCAGTTACTTTTCACTCTTTCCACTTAAATCTTGGCAGCAATATTCGAATTATTTCCGAAATGTTTTCAGAGAGCTCCTTTGATTTTTTTTTTTGCAATCAGAGTTAATTTTATGATTAAGAATAGGATATTTTACTAATGATGATGATGATGTCAATTTTGGCAATTATAGTATGATTTTTAGGAAACACTTAAAAAAACTATGCTGTCCTTAGCCATTGTTTAAAATCACTTTAAATATTTTAACATTGTTTTTATGGTCTATTAGAATTTGTTATGGTTTTTCAATGGTTAGAAATTACTATGATGATATACGCTATTGTAAGCTAGGTAATCAAATTAGTGTTATTACTAATTATCTCTTTAGTATATTTTCTGTCAGTGTAATATACTATATTCCCACGTAATATACAATAGAATGCTTGTATATACTTTATAGCAGCAGTTCTGAACCCGAAGAAGCGCACCCCACTAATGAGGTAAGAATATTTTTAAAAAACAACAAAACACGAATATTTTATTTTTGATTATTTTGATATTTGATTGGAACCAAGCATTTTAACCCTCTCATTAATTTGTATTTACTTAATAATAATAAATTTTAAATTTAATATCTCAGAAAGTGAATATAATATAATTTGTTTTAATAATAATAAATCAGGCCTGACGAGAGGGGAGCAGCCGGGGCTCAAAAAAAGCTCGGGGACTGGCCAAGTCCACTACATCTCATTCATGGTGTCGAGCTATTTATGGATCACCAACATGAATCATGCGAATTACCTACCCATTCTTCTCGTCGTATCCGATTTTAAAAATGCCAATAACAATCATATTAATAATTTAAAGTAAAATAAAATGAAATTTTTTTAATATTGATATAGTTATATTTTCTTGTTGTTTCGATCGACGGCCATACGTGCAGACGAACGGTCGGAGACAGTTTCTTTGATCCAGTGACCATTATCTTTAAGATCCTCGTAAAAATAATTTTTTATATAATATATACACCACTACAATAATGATAAAGAATGCGAATTCTTATTTTCCATACATCATTATTTAAAGTTTGTATTATTATATACAAAAAAAAAAACAAATTTTGAGACTCGGGGCCCCTTCTTACCCTTCCCCCCCCCCCGTCACGCTGGCATTGAATACGGTGAATGCGATAACGATGGTGATCCGGGTCGGAAGTGTTAATTGTTATAATTAAGTTATTATGTTTGTGGAAGAAATAAGTGGTAGGTAACTAATTGTTAAAATATACAGTTCTGCAGGCGAAATGAATACAAAAGGTAAAAAAAAAGAAATGTGACAAAGCAGTGAATGTACGTATGCATATGATGACTGTTCGCCGAATACTATTATGTATAGTTTACTTTATGGTAATTTATATAATGGACAGCGTAAAGACGTGTTTTTTATAATACAGTTTACAGAGTTTACAGTGTATTATAATAGGATTGACCAAACATTGTGCGACAGATTTAAAACATATAATTAAATCGAATAGACAACTAATAAATGTTCATCACACGCGTGTACCTTTTTTGCATATTAATGACGCCGTCTAATACATTATCCTGGATTGGAGTCAATAGTAATAAAATAATTTAATAATGAATGCATGGGTAATAATACGCAGTATACTAATACGAAATATACACATATGTGTACTCGAATAAAGATATAAATTCATGAATTCAGTAACAAGAGCTTGAGGCGGTTGTATGTATTTTTTTTTACATTAGTAAAAAAAAAAAAAACCACAAATATAATATTATTATACGTTGGTTCTGAAAATATTATTATCTAATAAATAACAAACATTTACAATGTTTACATATTTGTAAAACATAGTTAATCCTAAGTAAGAATCATAACTCTTTGATAACATAGTAAGAATACCTTTTCAAATTGACAATCATAACAATCATCTGAAATAGGTAGGTAATAAATATTAACCTAATTATATCTATAGAATATTTTTGTTTTGTGACAAGAGTTACCTAGTTTTAAAATTTGAAATTTATATATTTCATTTAAAGTTACTAAATGGTTACATTTATTTCTGTACATTAAACATATAAAAGGGATTCATTACGCACTGAACCAGAAAATAAGTAGTATGTTATAGGTTAATTATTTACTGTGTATTTTATTGTATCAATTGTTCATGGAAAAAAAAAGATCTAAATCTTATTCTAATGGTACCTATTCATTTCCAGCTATTTTCTCAGAAATGAACAATAAACAACTCAGTTTTGTGTTTTTTTTTTTTTGTAAGTATATTTAAAAACATTTTTTTAAAATATGACTTTTTGATCGTTAAATATTTAACTATAAAACAATATATGTTTGTTATTTTCATAATGATATGAAAACTGGATATCTATCAGTGTGGAGAATATCTGGGTACCTACCTATTTTTATGGAAATTTAATACAGACCACATTGCATTTTCTAAACAACAAAAACTGGCAGATACTGGTATCAAAATCAATAAATATCTTTTGTAAACAACTAAATGTAAGTACTTAATATTTATCATTATAATTAAATTATAAGTAACTATACATTTTATTGTTACATTGTTACACACACATACATTTCAGTACAAGCGTGCTCATAATGTGTTCTTGAGTATCTCCTAGCTTTTTGAAACAAACTACAATTAAATAAATACTCAAATTGCACATTTATTATAAAAAACCATAGCTAGTATTTTCACTTCATCTAATTAATACCAAATTTAGGATTTTAAAATACACTTAATAAAAAATAAAACGTATTTATTTGTTTTGTATTAATTCATCAACTGTATAAAAATTTATTATGTATCTAGTGTTTATCTGCATGTATATAAGTATAACATGCACTGTATACACACACATACAATTTCCTTATAGTAAAATATTGCTTAGATTTCAATTACATCATTGTCAACTAAATATAACAAATTATGATATCAGTATATTGAAAATATTGCTTTATTTATACAGTTTGTCATTAATTTATCAAAATAAAAATATACAGATATAAAAAAAAAATACAGAAGGTAAATAAAAAGTTTAATTTAATTTTTAAATAATACGTAATACATAAATCATAAATTAAAAACTTATAATTCCAATAAATTAAATATTTATGTCTTTATACTAAAATTAAAAATTAAAATATTAGCAAAGGAAAATTTCCATAGTGATGGGCAAAATAAAATTTTAATAATAGAAAAATAAAACAAAGAAATATGAAAATACAATTTGGTAACGTAACATATTGCACATGAACATAGTTAAAGATAACATTGTCAAATATTTCTAATTAAAACAAATGTTAATTAAAAAGTTCAAAATTATTAATAAGGTTTAAAAATTTTGGTAAACATTGTACGGTAAAAAGACAAATACATATTTATATAACATCGAAATATAAAATTAAGTACACTTTATTGATACAGAATACTGCCCATCACTGTGTATCATATTAAGTACACGGTATTCCAAAAGAACGACCAATACCAAACACAGATAGAATTTGAAAAAAAAAATGAGTTTTTTAAAATTAAAACCCTGTACTACATATAATTGGAAGTTTATCAATATATTTATTATATACACAAATAATGTTAATTATATTCTTAAGATCACAGTATTCAGACTGTTCTGAATGTATGTTTTAGGTATAAATTTCTTTATTCTCAAACAATTATATTAATTAGAAAAATATATCTACAATTCTAATACTGTAAAATGTAAATTTAACCTACTAGTAAAAGAATTGTGGTAAAAACTACCTAAAACGCCTTATGAACAGTTAGAAGTGTATAAATTTGATACACAAAATTTCATATTATAACTCTTAACTTTATATATATTTATATACAAAAAATTATATTAATTTCTTAACAAAATATTACTTATAAAAATTAGAAATACTTTCACAGACATTTATATAATAAACTAGTAATAATTATTAATGATCTCCTCTCAATAACTCCATTAAGAGATTAAAACTTTGTCCCTCTCCTTCTTTACTCTTAATTGATAGCATTTCTTTTCCGACCTATTAACAAAAGAAAAAACTATGAATATACATTTTGTACAAATATAACAATACTACTAATTAACAATTAAATATTAATATCGTATAAATTAGATTACAATCTCTTCCTAAAAAAAATTCAAAAGATTTTTAATTTTGATACTAATTTCATCTCACCATAAATCCAATTTCATACGAAAGCTATAAAAAATTATTCAATTGATTTTACATTTTTAAAAACATTAAAATAATAGATCAATTTACCTGACAAGTACGTTGTAAATCAGGTATCCTTAACAATAGTTCTCCAAATTTAGATGGCATATCTGGGTAATGTGCTACAGTATATTGCTGCAATGCATGTAATGCTTTTTCTTGGGATGCACGAACTTTTTCTGGTTCTTTCAAGTCATTAGTATCTAAAACCAAAATTAAAACTCAGTTAAATAAAGTAAAAACATGTAAATTCAAATTTTTCTAATAACAAACTTTATACCTGATGATAGTAGCACGATGACTTTCATGGCCACATATTCATATCGATCTACTCTTAATCGTCTCAAATGTTGAGTGAAATTTAACATTCGCTCGATACAGGGTGCTAAGCCTAAGTCTCTTGCTTGATCCAAAGAAATGGATTTGCCTAAACTGACCCGTATCTCTCCAGGACTGCTAACAGACCGGTAACAACAACTGAACAACAGTAACTCACACCAAGCATTTATCAATAATGAAATCTGATCATCAATCTAAAGGAAACAATAAAACGTTGATATTTTTTTAGAAAATTTTTTTTTCATAATACAAATAAAACAAATTGGTGTTAAATTTATTACCGAAATATTCTTAAACAAGGGTAACGATTTGCACCATTTCACTATTTTGTAAAGCCGATGGTCAGCAATATTGCATAAATTAGAGAGAAAATCTGTTCCTGAGTTTTCAGCCATTAAACGACTCTTGGCTAATTCTTTGGCGCCACCACAATGGTTCATAGAGCTTCCACTAGCACTTGATGATTCAAATGAGCCTTCATTATAAGTCCATAAATGTTCCACTTCCATTATTTCCTAAAAATTGTTTAATGATAGTTAAAATTATAAGTCAACTAATTTATTAATGGCTCATAGACTAATTTTATGATCATTATTAAAAATATTTTAACTATTTCATAAAAGATAACCTAATCTTTAAATTGAATAGATAATATTATAGTTTTATCAAATATTAAGATTTTAAAATAGTTTTAATATCTCTTTACATTTATTCAACGTAATGATATTAAATTTAATTAAACTAACATTTATAGAGTAATAAACTATTAAAATTATTTCAGCACTATTTTTCATTTGAAGATATTATATTATAATATACAATAATTTATTTTTATAAACACTCACTTGCAATAATGGAGGGATCAGTCTGGCTGCTTCTTGTGGTGGAGATCTACATACTCGTTCTTCCTGCTTGACCTTATTGTCAACAGAATTAGTGGTCATTCCAGAGTGCTGTCCACCATGTTGTTGCTGAATATTTGTTTGTGGGATAGTATAAGTAAATGGATATGTACTGCGCCCACCTCTAGTTCTATCAACTCTAATTGCTTCAAGTTTCATACCCATATTTAAGCACTTGTCAAACCGGCAAGCAGGACACTTTTTACGAGTAGCTATTGTAATCAAACATGCTGAACCATGTAAACATACATAATTTTTATGGTTTTGTACAGTACGCTTAAAAAATCCTTTGCAGCTTTCACACGAAAATATACCATAATGAAAACCAGAAATTTTATCTCCACAGATTGGACAAGGGCTAAAAACAAAATGAATGTAATTTAATAAAATTTAAATAATAATTTATTACATTAAATACAAACCTATTAATTAATTGTTGCCTTGAAATACCAGACGTTATGCCATGTTGTTGACCAATGTCTGACATTGCTATTTTTTCTTCATATCCATTAGTTTCCTCTGCTACACTATACTCATGAAAATTTCTTTGTATATGTCTAGGTTGAATTGGTGATTGTGTTGGAGAAAATTGGGTGGGTGAAACGGATACTGAGGAATAACTACAAAAAAAATATTAAAATATAAACAAATTAAAAATTGATTAAATAATGATTAATACTACTAAATATAAAATATGAATTCAAATCATAGATTATCAGTATTCAATTATGAAATTTTTTCCTTAATCCTTTCCCTTTGCTTTTATCTTCCTTTACGATGAAGCTTAATACAATCTCTACCATATTTTCTTTGATAGTCCTCCTTTTTCTCTCTCCAGATTATCCTTATTCTCTCATGTTTATCCCTCGGTTACTTTACAACTGAAACCAATTTTTCCTCTTCTTCTATTATATTCTTTATTATCTCCATCATTCTTAGCACTAGCTTCCTTCTATAAATTATAATATGTAATTATCCCTCCTACTCTATTATAAACCTGTAAAACTTAATCATTATGCTGTGATGTTGATTTTAATAATGAAGCTTTAATTATAATTAAAAAAAGTTATAAAACTTTTATTTTACATTTCATTGTTTCATTTTAATAATATTTTTATGTCATAATTATACTTTTTAAACGATTTTTTTACATTCCACAATTTAAATAATAATGTTTAAAATATTTTTTAATAAAAGTCATTATTAAAAATTATTTTAAGTGTTCTATACATTTTTAGAAAATTTTTACAGTTCTCTAAAGATTTTTAAACAACATATTGTAATACATGAAATGCATTTTTAAGTATTTTATAATAGATAATTTACCTCTGACTATAACAAGAACTATGTTGCGATCCACCATACTGAGACGCATCGCTATTATTTCTCGACAATGATGATGGTGTAAATGTAGAGGGCGATGAAAACCCTGAAGATGATGGAGGATTATGTCTTGAAGTGATTGGTGACTGTGCAGGAGAGCAACAAGAATGTATAGCTGAGTCTGGGCTTTGGGTCGGTGGAATATGTGATGGCTGTTTGACTCCATTAGTTCTATGTTGCAATAATGGGCTACAACCACCGCCTAACAATTTATCAACGAGTAACGGAATTTCGCCATTTGATGATGCTACTTTACTTTTAACATGTTCCATAACGTCAGTCTATAAAAACAAATACAATTAAAATTATCAATGAATTATACTGAAAATCAAATGAATAATAACTCACTAAGTTATTATCATTATAAATAATCCTTTTGACTGGAGATGCTTGTTGGTTATTTACATTACTATTTCGCGGCAATAAATAATTTTGATTTCCTGTTTGCATGTCCATAATTCTATCTTCATCCTAAAAATAAATTGGGCTCGTGATAGTGTTACGATTTATTTAATAAATAATAATTATTAAGTCAAAATTGTTAATTAGTAAATCACATTACTTGTTTCATTTCTGAATCGGATAGCTCTCCTTCCCAGGACATTGGTCGAGGCATATTTTCTTCAACTGCTCTCATTTTTTTACTTCTCATGGTGACTCCGGAAAAATCAATTTTACTAACCTCTCGGTCGCATTCAGAACCGACTTCGTCGATGTTGTCTTCTTTGATTTCTGTCATTGTACCGTCCTTTTCATTCGGTTCCTCTAAAGATAGTTAAAAAGCAAACATGTTATTACATTTTGCGAGATGAAAAATTATATAATATTCTATACAATAAATTATATTACAGCAGCGGTCTTCGCTTAAGTTATACAAAGTGCTAAAATAATATATTGAGTTCCATATATCAATTAATATTTTCAAGTAAAAAATAGTAAACCAGTTTATATATACTTATATCATTGAAAATAGTTCAGAAAGTATTCAAAAATAACGGGACGAAAATAATTATGACATAATAAAAACATTGTTTTAAATATTTGAGTACAAAGTTAATCTATAGGACAGGCCGTAAAAATATTTAAAAAAGACACGCTTATGTATAGAGTAGATATAAAAACCACAGCCATCTTTAGAGTGTACTAAGAAGTTCAGAAGGACACTGATTTTTAATTGAAAACACGTAGGAAAATTTCAAATCTCTGTGGTATTCCAACTTGTGAAAAAAGTAAACGAAACAAAGTGTCCGATGATCCAGAAATTATTGTGTAACACGCGCAGTGACTCATTTAGAAATTGTACAGCTCAGGATTGTTTTACATTTTGCCGACGCCCCCTCCCCCGTCCATATTCCGATAAATTGTCACCACTGTCGAAAAGGAACAGATTTGTTAGTTAGTTTAAATTAGGCTAAAAATGATTATACTGTTATGGTAATAACGAGGCGAGGGACACAAATAGTTGTGACTAAAAATCACATAAGTCGACAGCGCTTGTAACCAAGTGCCGATCACAAACGTTAACATATTTTGACGGGAAACACTGAAAAAAGTACGTCCTGCGACTGGACCAATACCTATACGTACCTATACCGCTGACGCACGAAGGACGCGTGAGATCATAAAAAAAATATGTTTTAGTCACGAGTTTCACTGAATTTCCAACAAGGCAGTTAATAGGTATTACAGTCGAAGTCATCACCGTCACAAGTATCCGTTTCGTGAGTCATAAAAGTAACCGATTGACAAACTTCCGGAATTTAGCGTAGCTCGTGTGTGAGTTACACGAACTACGCGTACACCGATTTCGACACTTTCTTCGATCGTTATTTTTCGAATAAAATCCTTTGTCCCGCGTCAGCGTCGTCGGAAGATCTCGCGAGGCCCCTGGGCCAAAGCAGTACGATTGTCTCGCGGCTACACGTATCTAACTGTTCCTAGTCGATAAACCGCGAGGCCCCCGAGTTCGTTTTTGAGCGCGAGGCCCTAGGCCTAGTCGCCCAAGTCGCCTTCCCCTCCCCACCCCCAGACACGCGAAACGAGCATTTGCGGACCGCAAACGTCACGTGGATTTTACGCAACGAGTTGCGATCCGGACGCATCACGTTCAGCGTACCTTTTATCGTCGTGATCTGCGTGTTGGGCAACCGGGGAGCGATCAGATTTATGGACGTTACGGTGACCGGACCGGACGACACTTGCACGCTGTGGCCCCACATTCTAGCGTCGCTGTTGGCCATCACGTACACCGGTTCGTAACTGCAGCGGCGGTCAGGTCGAAACGGAACATCGTGCTCGCACCGCGCGACAACGGTAACAGGAACAACACCAGCGGTACCGCGTGGCGCTCGTACCGGGTTAGGTCACTACGGCGTGGTCGGGCCGAGCCGTTGGCATTCGATGTCGCGGTGACGGTGCGGCGGCAGGACGCGGTGGTCGCGGGCGCGGGTCATCGTCGCCTCGTCGTCGAAACTTGTCCGCCGTCGACTCCTTCCCGGGACTGGAAAAACAGAAACGGACGGTCACATTATTATGTTCGCGACATGGTATACAAGCGTAATTATGATTCACGTCGTACGGTGGCAGTACGTATAGTACGTGCGCGCGCGCGTTTTCCGATCCGTGCGGTACAGTGTACACGGTGCGTGAACGCGAAACGCGCGCACCAATGTAATACGTATAATGTAATGAAATGATATGCGATCGGAGAAAAACGTTACGTGTTCGGCAGAGTAACCGAACGGTCATACTTAATCTCGTATAATAGCAGCAACAGCTACTATTACTACTGCTACTAATACTAATACTACTACTACTACTACTACTACTACTACTACTACTAATACTGATATTGCTAATATTAATGCTACGTCTACCAATACTACCACAGTAATACGTATGTCGCCGTGTCCCGGTGTTGTACGGTGAAGCAACAGTGCTGCAGGACGACGCGAAACCGGTTGTGTGACCTGACAGCTAAGTGAAATGACCGGTACGCGCGAGGGGAACGGTCGACAGCGGTGGTTGGCGAAGGGGTTATTGATGTCTTGGTTGCATTGTTTATAATTGACAGTAACGCGGCACCAGCAGCGCGTTTGTACTTGGACGCACGGACTAATTTTTCGCTATTTTATTTTTATTTTATTACGACTTCGTTTCATCGCATATACACTTATTATAATCCCGCTGTCACTTATATATATATATATATATATATGTACATGCGCATTCTGAGCACGGGACGGAACTAAGTTAATATTTAAAATCCCGACGAACAGTTATTTAAAGAAAACGCGATTCAACGCGTTCAAAACGTGCTGCGGTCCAATAGCAACGACCCGAACACACAATGAACGTTTTATCAAGTGGACTTAGGTGCGCGTGTATCGCCGCACACCGGAGAACTTTGATTTTCTCGGAGATACCTCGGTAAACATAATCCTTCGGATAAGCGCGTGCATGACTAGATTCCCGACATCAAAGGATTAAACACTCGATTACAATACAATAGAGAATTCGCCTTCTCTTTGTTGTTAAACACGCGGTCACATATAGGACATATACTGCGTTTACAACGCGTACTTACACGAGTATCAGGTACGGCACGGCCGGTAGGTATTTCATTTTATTGCATAACTATAGTTACAATATCGCGCAGAATTATTAATTGTATTTATTAATATTATTCCAGCATGGCGACAGTTCTAAATATAATATTACACCGCACACTGGTAGTAGTAAAATAATAAATATCTAACGACAGTTTAAACGTTCGACAATATTTTTATTTTTCGTCACACGCCCGTTTCTTTTGTACGGACGCATATATATTTTTAAGTTCTCGTTCGAAAGAGAAATGGTTGGAGGACAATATTATACATCATTATGTAAATAAAGATATCAATCGTGGAGAGAAAAGAAGGCGTGCCTCACGAGAGTATATATTGCACTGGTGTAATGGATGATAAATCGTTCAATATACACACAGTCGGTATTAAAATTATGGTCACATTGTTAATGCACATTGACATTTGACTCACGGGGAGAGTTTTTGGTCAAAATCCCCTACCCGGAATTAAATAAAAAATCAGATTCAACGCGTAACCGCAATACACAATAATATGTAAGAGTGATTTTGATTCTCTATTAAAATAAATTGTTTTACTTCTTCATAAAATCATATATTTATAATAATAATAATTTCTTAATTGCTAATTACAGGTAAAAAAATACACAAATAAAAGTAAAGTATACTAAAGTTTAGTTTATTATTGAGGATCTTATTTGAGACTTCAAACCAACTTCTTTTAATTACATTTTTTGCGTTTTTTTTATTATTCATAAATGGTATTTCGAAAAAAAATTTCCTGGTGTTATAAGGTTGATTTTTAATTTTAATTAAATTTGTTTTGAAAAAATAGCTTGTATTTTTATAAATTATTAATAACTAGTACTTATAATGGTTTGAATAATTCAATCGGGAGAAAAGTTTTTGATTAACATAATTTTATTATTTTTTAATTTTTTTTATGTACCTACAATATTATAACAAATGTTCTTATTATTATTATTTTCTTTTTCAATAGGTACGTAAACAATATTGTTAAACGTCACGAGCACAGTTTCATTTCTTCGTTACATTTTTCTATTTTCCGTTATTTTTCAGGGTATTAAAACAATAATATTCAAGATGGGTACAGCGGAAGATTTGTGTCGAGTTATACCTAACGGTAGAAGGGGACGGCAAAATGGTATAAAAGCGAGCAGACAAATCCATGAATAGGGTTTTCAACTTCCCTCCTCGGGTAACAATTCGAAGTGCACGCAATATGCGTGTGCGAGTTTTTCATTATTTTTCCCCTCCGTCGAAAACCGCGAGGTCTGTAGGCGTACGTGGGCGGCACGTACCACCGCGGGTGTACACGAACATATTTTTACGTTACGAAACCGTACACGCGCGCGCGACGTCCGTACGGTTTTTATTTATTATTTTATTCTTTCATTCCGTTCCAGCGATAGTAGCGCGCGACAGCAGACCTAACGCCGTCCGCCACCGTCGTCGCGCCGAGCGATAGAAGACGCGGGCGTGCGGTTGTTTATTTTTATAAACCGACGATAGAACGTCGTCGTCGACGGCGGCGGCAGCGACGGCAGACGTTACAAAACCATTATAGTCGTGGCGACAGAGCGAGACGTGCGTGTGCGGGCGACGTTGCCGTGCAGTTCGTCGGACTCTCAAAATTCAACCTTGCCAAGGTCAGGCTCGGACGCATGCGCGCGCATCTCGCGTGCGTCCTGTGTTCCTTTCATTCCGTTTTTTTTTCTCTCTCGCATTATTTATTATTTTGTTCCTTCAATCTCACACACACACACACATAAAAACGCGCACGGCACGCGACGACGTTGAGCGCATCTGCTGCTGTCGGTGTTAGCGTGCGCATTTCGCGGATACGATCGCGCAAACTATACGCACAAACGGTACAATAGAAAACGCACGTAGGTTCGTGCAAGAGCACCGACCGTTGCGACGGCGATCCCGAGATCCTCGTCGTTTACGCATCGGAAACATTGCGGCGACGCGTTAGCGTGTCGCGTGTTCGTACACACCCGTGCAGCGAAATTATAAATAAAATGAAAACGTGCGACTTCTGCCGAAGACATGCCTCTACGTCCCGTCGGAGCAACAACAAACGGTTGGACGGTTCGCCACTGCGATGGGCATTATTGGCAGCGTCCGGCCGTCGAACACGTACCTATAACTCGTACGGTTTTCGCGACGACCGTTGCGCAATTTTCGCACAGTTCGCGACAGCTATTATGTGTACGTGTATTAATGTAACAATGCATTACGCTGCTGCGTACCTGTAATGCACGTTCATAAATATTAAACGCAGCGACGAGGCCCGACAAGGTTCGACGGGAGGCACTCGTCGCGCGTGACCTTGTCGCAGCGCGGCGGCCAACGGTGGGTGGCGTCCGTTTCGCGCAGCGCGAAGGGAGGTTTGATTATTTTATGCCCATCGTTATTATTATTACGGTATTTCGTCTATATTTTCACTTGGTACGAAATAAATGCGACGTGCGCATAAAACGGACGCGAACTCCCCGTCACCGAGCGCAGGACGCGCCATCCTTAACGACCAGTACGCGCGCGCGCTAACAATGGTATCCCCGCGACTCGTCACGAACGGTATTATATCGTTTTCTAGGTAGTTTTTTTTTCAGACGCTCTCCCTCCAAAATGAATTCGACCCTCGTATAAATAAAATTATAACGTTTCCCGATTAGCCGTGAGGCAATCACTGCACGAACCCCGCGTGTAACGTTGTACGTATTCTTGTGTATTTTTCGCGTTATAATACGCTTACTCTTTGTGTGTGTACGTTAATATTACGCAAATCGACAACCCCCGTGGTCTTATTATATAATTAGGGAGTTTCGTACCTGATCCGCGTACTACATGTGAATATTCCATGGTCTTACTAATCCTTTTAAAGGTTTTGAAACCTCCGAAGAGTCTATATTTGTTGTATACAAACATTCGGTTTTGTCCACTTTAGGCCAAAATATTTGATGAAACTCTAAACCATGTTGTCGCCCGTGTAAAGTCGCGCAAACGATTCAACATGCGTACGGCACGAAAACGAGTCGACACATACCGTTCTATGAGGTTTATGACATGATTTCTGTAGATATGTTTAATAAATTAGATTAGATGCTTGGAAGAAATTCAAGTGTATAATATTTTAAATGTAAATTGTAACACAATTTCAACGGATGAAACGCTAATTCGCAAATACAAATATACAGACTAATACTTATAAATAGTAAGTTTAAAAGGTTTATTATAGTTTTATCTATTTTATTTACTAAATTCTTATTTGGGTTTTTATAAATATTCTTATACTTATACTATACTTAATATAAATATTATATTACACATATATGTATAAATATGCGAGACTTATATGATTCAAATTTACGAATTTATATCGTGTTACTTATACCTAAAATGGTGTTTCATCGTAAGTCTCAAGATATTTTTGATTTGCGTGACGATGGACGACGCCGAGAAGCACAGGCTACGTAGTGTGCCAAATGCTTAAATAATTGGTGCATATTTAATAGTAATATACGTTGATGTATAAGAATTTACATAGAATTTTTATTCTTATAAAGGAACTACTGCGTGTCTCGTTTTAATATCCACGTAGAAACGTGTATATTTAATTTTTTTCAATGGATTTTAAATAACCAAATATTTTCTATAAATATTTGTGCGTATGTGGGTGCAGTGCTGAATCTTGGAAATATTAGCTCGGGACAAATAAAAATTTACCACTATTACGTAGGTGGAAGAATGAGACATGTTCATGACTTTTTTTATTTTCCATGAACTTAAGAACGCCTTTATACCAATAGTGCTTGGAGCAAGAATACCTTCTTGACCCCCTAGATCTAGCACTATATGTGTGTGTGTGTGTGTGTGTGTATAAGTAA